AGGGCACGGAGGCATGGGCCTGTAAGGTCCAGAGTGCAGACCGGGTGTCCGGACGTCTCAGTAGGGGCCGTGAGCCTGCTCCAGGAGCTGGCAGGACACAACAGCTCTGAGCCCTCGGCCACAGCTGCGCCGTCCCCACGCCCACCGCGTTCCTGCCACTACTGAGGGCGAAACCCCAGAAGGGCCCCCCGTTAACTGCAGATGCTGCCCCCAGGTGCTGGGCAGGTCGCCCTTTGCTGCCTCTGAGGTGTTTCCATGGCAACGGCTGGGTGTCCTCAACAAGCAGGGTCCACCAGGAAAGAATTGAGGCCCTGAGCCCCAGGACTGCACTTGCTGCACCGGCCCCCGCCGCCCCCTCCCACCTCATCTCCAAGGTCCTTCTGAGATCTGGTAGTCACAAGGGGCTCAGGAGCTCCCTCAGTTGTTGGGGTCTTCGGCCAAGGCACACTGTACCCCAATTATCTTAGCTTTTCCCCCATAAACTGGAGAGAAACAAGACATGCTGGTCCGAACCTCCCCGCCCACCCCAAATAACAGCTCAGTCAGTGCTCCTACAAGAGCCAGACCTGCGGGAAGGGAAAAGGGTCCCCAGGCCTCACAGCTGGATAAAAGCCCCATATCTGCCGGATCTCACAGTGAGCACCCTAATTCGGAACCCACGGCTCCTGACAGGTCTGAGCTGGGTAGGGGAACAGAAGGCGGCCAGGCCCACCTACCGGCAAACGCACAGCAGCGGGCACCCCCAGAAGGCTCTGTGTGAGCAACAGCCCTCTTTCTGTAGGTGCAGAGAGGAAGGGGGTGCCCTGGGGTACAGGGCACTCAGGGCAGCTAGCGGGAGGAGGCCTGGCCTAGAAAGGGCAGAAACCTGCCGAGGCAGGACCAAGCCACAGGGGCAGAGAGGGGCTGGGGTGCACGACGAGGGCCAGGACCTTCCCGCTCAAACACCCCACTGTGCCCACCGTGCAAAAGCCTGTCACGTCTCTGGAAAACGCATCCAGGTCAGGGACTCTGGACTCACAAGGGGACACCCACCCCCGACTGACAAGCCTTTGCTTCCTAAAGGGCTGTGTCCTTCTACTGCCTTAATCTTTGCTTCCTGATGGTCCAGCCTGACCAGTTGCCCCCGTGAGGAGGCTCTGCACACCCCTGTCCCAAATGGAGACCCAGACTCTGCCCCGTGGATAGCATCACTGGGAGCCTGTATCTTCCAGCAAGGAGGACATTCAGGTTGGCAAAGCCAGAACCCCACCCACTGGCCACACCTGCCACAGGGCTGCCCAGGCTGGGAGCAACAGCCACAGCCAGTGACCAACCAGGTCCCCGGGTCACAGCAGCTACAGCGGCCTCGGGGGTTGGCAGGGTGACAGATATCACCATTTTCCAATAAACTGGAACACTAGAAAATAAAATCTTCCGTTAACAGTAACAAAGATAATGTGCGCAACAGCTTAACATGCAGTAACTCCAAGAACAAGATAATAAACATAACACCAAAAATGACCAAAAATGTAACATTTCAATGAAGAAGCCCTACAGCCCTAGTTGGGTAAGTTAGCAACTTTCTCTTAATCTTTAAATGTAGTTCCTACCCAAATTTCATGATTTTGTCTTGATTGTGACAACACTTATGTAAAAGTTCAAATGGAAAAACAAGTATGAGGACAGTGGGCTTCTTGGAAGAGGGTGGGGGCTGGAGGGCAGGAAGGAGCACAGCTGGATGGGGCGGGCCAGGGGCAGGGGGCTTGTGAGTCAGTTAAATTCCAGGTGGGTAAAGGTTATTTTCCAGAACAGTGTTCATCTGCGCTGGCTGTAAATGTACTCGTTAGTCACAGGTCAGACAAGGGCGCCGAGAGCTGAGCTGGTGGTGAGGAGATGGCTGGGGACAGAGAGGGGGCAGGGAAGGGGCGTCTGGGGACATGGAGGGGGCATCTGGGGACAGAGAGGGGGAGGCTGTGGGCAAAGATGGGGGCGGCTGGGGACAGAGAGAAGGCAGGGAAGGGGCGTCTGGGGACAGGGAGGGGGCATCTGGGGACAGGAATGGGGAGGCCGGGACGGGAGCGGAGAGGACGGTCGGGGGCGGCCGGGGACGGTCGGGGGCGCACCCCGCAGGCTCCCCCGGGGAGGGCGCCGCGCCCGCCGCCGGAAAGGGCAGCGGGGAAGCAGGACCTCCCCTTGCCCGGAGGCCCAGAGCCCCGCAGGACCAGAGGACGGCGCTGCACCTCCAGCCCGGAGAGACCAAAACGCGGGTCCCCGCGCCGGCAGCGGCCCGGGCGCCGCCCTCCCGCCCGGCCACGATCCTGGTCACATGACCCGCTCGGGCCAATCCGAGTGCAGCTTCCCGCGTGACTGGGCGGGGCCGGAGCACCTGGTCGCAGCCGGCCAGTCAGACGGCGGCGTGCGCGGCGGAGACCTACGGCGGCTGGTGAGGGCGGCCCGGCCGGACCCCGCGGCGCAGGAGCGGCCGCAGCCCTTCCCCTCCCGGCGCTGTACCCGCACATCCGCCTGTCACCCTCCGTGGTCACTGGGGTCGAGTGTCACTTGCGACCCGAGGCCCCAGGCAGCGGCGTACGGCGCCTGCCAAGGGCGGTCACAGTCGTCACCGCGGAGGCCTCCACCTGCCCCGCCCGCTCCCTTGTCCCGCGCCCGCTCCCCTGCCCCGCGCCCGCTCGCCCGCCCCGCCCGCTCCCCTGCCCCACAGGAGTGAGGCCCACTGCTGGGCTTACAATGGGCTCAGGCATCTTGGGAACAACACCCCCAGCCCCCAGCCCAGTCACGGGAGCCAGCGGGGAGGAGCCTCCTGCACTGAGACACGCCCCCTCCCATTCCTGGCCTGGTCAGAAGAACCAAGCACAAGGGCCCTCCACCTGCAAGCCAGTGGGGACGGCGTTCTCGGCACACACCTGAGCTGCCAGCACCAGCTTCCACTCTGCTCTGCAAAACAAAGCCATCTACCCGGGCCGTGGTTTCTCAGGAATGGGGGACTGGGAGGGAGGGGAGGGGCGTTTAATGGGGGCAGAGCTCCAGTGTTACAAGACAAGGGAGTCTGGAGACAAGGACGTGGGGGTCGCTCAGCAATCCGGAGCCGTGCACCTCCAGGTGATTACAACCGTGTGTGACTTCACGACAACAGCAAAACAACAACAAAAACCCGGAAAAACCGAAAACACTAAGCAGACTTTGTACCCAAGGGCCAGTAAACAGCAAGCTTGGGAGTGGCTGTCAGGGAGCCAAGGGCGGTCACAAAGGCGCCCCCAAAGGGCAGGGCAGCCACCTGGGAAGCAGCCCTTGCTGGGAAGAGCTGGTCCTGTCCCACTTTGCCTCCCATCGTGAAGTGGGGGCATCAGTGAACTCGGGGTGTTTACAGCTGCTCGACCCAGTCGTCCGTAGAGAGTGAACCCCACAGAGGGTTCACTGTGCTGTCAGGCATGGATGGCTGCACACACACATCTCAAGTAAGGCCACAAACGGGCACTTACAGGCTCAGCCACACACACTTGGAGCTGGCCTTCTGAGTCCTGGGGAGCTTCTGCACCGGGGTCACTGCTCCAGCCACCAAGAGCAGCTGGAAGGCCCAGAGCCCAGGTCAGTGACAGGCCCTTGGCTTCTCCACATTAAGATGCCCTGGGACTACAGCCCAGAGACCCTGCGGGCCTCATTAGGAGGCCTCGTAGGGAGCCATTCCAAAGCAGCTCGTGTGTGAGGCAGAAGTCTCAGCAGGACCTTGCCGGCGCACCACCGCTCTGCAGAGCCCCGTCTCCGCGACCTGCGGCCAGCTGGCTTTTCAAAGCTAGAACTGGTCAGAGAACCCAGAATCCTGGGGTTCTGCAGACACGGCAGCGGGGGCGTGTGTGCCGCCTAGCAGTGCAGAAGGAGCCTGAGGGGGACGACAGGGATGGGAGGAGGCAGGGGACAGAGAAGTGGCTGCCCCAGGTCAGCCCCCAACAGTGCTCATCCTCCATGTCTCCCCATACACGCCGCTCCTCCTGAAACCTGGTGAGGGCTGATGCCCTGCAACGCCTGACCTTAACCTAAGACCCACCCTGTCTGCCCCTCGACCTTCCCCACGCCCTCTGGAACCCCAGCAGACAGAATTTACAGTCGATTGGGAGAAGCAGGGAGGGCAGGGGGCAACTCAACCAGCAGATCTTAAAAGTACTCTCCTTAACGGAGTGTTTGAATGGGTTCCTGCGAAGGAGGTCATTGCTTCGGTTTATAATTTCCCAGGCCTGGGGGACCCAAGGCTGGGTGTCCAGACGCAGCTGCATGGAGAGGGGAACCAAGGCCTCCTCTGCCAAGCCTCCTCCTCTGCTCCGAAGAAACTCTCCACCCAGAAGTGACCCATCTACAGCAGGCCCACAAGGCCGAGTCCCGAGAGCTAATTTTAAACTTCTCAGAGTGCTCGTTAAGCCTCTTTGAGTTATAATTACCCCCAATCTCGAGATGCTACAAGGCAGCAATCAGGAAGTTAGATGTGGACAAGAGAGAACGAAAGGAACAGGGAGACGTCTCCGGCGGCGCAGCGGCCAGGATGAGGACACGGGCTCAGCTGCACTGTCCGCCCTTTCCCCCGCACCCCTGCAGGAGCAGCCTGACGTCAGAGGGTCACAGCGGCTCCGGGACACTGAATATCCGTGGCCACTCCCCCCCAGGTGCTTCTAAGGCACTTCCTGTGTGGCCTTGAGTGGGCTCCCGCCTCTGAGGAAAGTGGCCCCACCGCGGAGCGGGCGTCAGAGTCTCAAGTGAGGGGGCGTCGGGGTCTTGGTCCCACAAAGCCCCACAGCTGTGCCATCTGCACCGTCAGCTCCCAGCCGCGTTAGAGACCCGCAAAGACCTGGACAGAAGACCCCAGTGCTCCTGAGCGAGGCTGATACCCCACTCTGACCCCCCTCGTTGCCAGCCTGTCCACATCCCCCACCGACAGACGTGGGGGTCCCGGCCTCCCAGAGCCGGTGGGCTGCGGGGACGGTCCTACCATGGCCTCCTTGCTGGCTTTGTCTTACCTTCCCGAAGCTGCCCTTTCCGATGGCCCGAAGGATCTGGAAGTGGTCGAAGTTCACTGCAGAAAAAACAGAGATACACCAGGTGAGCTGGCAGGAAGGCCCAGGGCCCTCCACCAGCCCCCAGTGGAGCTGCCGTCCAGGGGCTGCCCCCCACCACTGCAGGGAGCCCTCCCCTGCACCCCGGAAGTGGGTTCTGGTGCCGGCGGGAGGCTCAGCTCAGGCTTGTGTGTAAAGCAGGGACGGCCTGAGCCAAGGCTGAGAGGTGGGTCCTGGGGGCCATGCTGTCTGTCCCTCTTCCCGAGCTCCTTGCAAGGCCAGGCCAACCCGCCCACAGACCACGCAGAGGACAGGGTGTGCCCTTTAGTCCCAGGCACCTAGACACCCCCATCCTGAGCTGTCCCCCACGCAGGAAGCCCGGAGCCTGCCCCCCACCCTCCCGCTGAGTCTCCCGTGGGGTTCACAGGGTGAGCTACGGGAGAGCCTGCCACGGCCCCGGGACGAATAATGGGCACTTTCTGAAGGGCAGTCCCCAGGCCTGTGGGAAACCACCCGAATCCTGACTTCCATTAACTTCCCCCAGACACAAGCCCCTCCCAGAGAAAGGGGTCGTTGGAAATGACAGCTTTACTAACTGACACGGTCCTCAAGGAAGATGCTCCCCGCCACGCACACAGGCCACGCACACAGGCCACGCACACGCGGTGCTCGGGGGTGGGCATCTGTGAGTGAGAGCAGTTCGGACGGGCTCTAGGACTCCCGCTTCACTCTGAACCTGACATGTGAGCTGCCCTCCACTGGTTTCCTTCCCACGGGCATCTCAGTGCCCCAGGCAGCTTGGACCAGCCTTGCTTCCCACACCTGCCCGCCCCCCAGGACGCGGCTCCCCCAGCTGACTATCACGCCGCCAGATGGCCCCACCTGTGCCCCAGGTCTGAACCCTCCCAAGTCCCTGTCCTCAGGTCTGGGCCCCCCCCCAGACCTGGGCCCCCCCAAGGTCTGTTACCTCCAGGCCTGTGTCCCCCCAAGCCTGTGGCCCCCCCGCCCCGGTCAGAGCCCCCTACAGTGACAGGTTGCTCCATGGCTCACAGCTCTGTTCTCTCGCTTTGGGTTTTGCAGTACCCGTTGAGCCCGGCTCCACTTCCAGAGGTGGGTCCTGGGCACTCGTGAGACGCCCCGGGCCCTGGACACCCACGACCCTGCAGTCAGTGCAGTCTGGGCTGCTCCCTGGGGCGGTGGGGGGGGCGACGAGGGCCCTGGCGTGCCACACGGAGAATGGCGCGTGGAGCCTGCAAGGGGCACCTGTGTGCGTGGCCCAGCGCGTGGCGTGGGAGGGCCCGCCTAGGAGTGGAAGGGAGGGTATTAGGGTCAGGCACCCTCCCCCCAGTGCCAGCACAGCGCTGAGGTTAGCCGGGGGCTCAGCCACGGCAATCACGGAGCTCAGAGAAAGGCAGACGCGGGACTCCGGACTTCCCAGTGGATGGAGAGGATGGGAGCAGAGTGTGTGTTAAACAGTAGGTCAGGAGCAGAGGAAATCCACACCGTGCCCCCCACTCCACTCTCACTCCCTGGAGAGTGAGGATAGCACAGGGAATCTGGGGGAAAGAGGCGGGCGGAGGTTGGCCAGGCACGGAAGTGGTCCACGCCGGCTGGCCCCGTGGCCTCTCCTGTGCCTGCTTCCAGGAATGGGAAGGGAGAGCGTGCACCCCACTGCACGGAGCCTGTGGCTTGGGGCACAACCATCCCCACTTCCTGAGACCCCAGGGCGGGAGAGGGCACAGAATGGGACTCCCGGACGGCTGTCAGGGCACCGTGTCGGCCACCTGGAAGCTTCACAGGGGAGACCTTGGCGGGACGGAAATCCCACACGTAGCTGCGGGCCACCGGGAGACCAGTGAGCCGGGAGGAGCCCCAGGCAGGCCCAGGACTGGGCAGGGTGTGAGTCCCACGGCGGCCGGAAGCTGTGAGCAAGGCTCTCCCGGACACACACAGCGACCCTGCTCCGAGGCTGGAGGGCATGCGTCCGGGGGCCTGTGGACACAAGTTGGGCGCAACGCCTCAGGTCCAGCTCCCTGTGACCTTGAGCTCAAGTCCTGGGGGTCAAGCCGCCGTCCGGCCTGCACACCCAGTGCTCCTCACAGACGGAGGTCAGCACCCCGGGGTCCTGCACGCGTCCACCCTCCCGTCCACCAACCACCCGTCCGTCCCAGGCAGACCTGCAGGCTTATGGTGCCCTGCTGCCCTGCACATGGCTCCTGGGGTGCCCCTGGACACCCCATCTTACAGACGAGGCTCTGCTTCTCTCGGGCCCTTCCGGCCTGGGCCTCGGCGCCGTCTGACTGAGGACTCTGGCTGTAGGTCTGCACGGGACACGGGGCCCCGCTGCGTGAGCCAAGGTCAGAGGCGACAACCACAGGCTGGGCCTGACCCGGGGGAGGGCAGCGAGGCGACCGCCCAGAGTGGGGCCCTCTATTGTGGGGAACCAGCAAACAAACATGGTGCCCGGGAGGAAATAAAGCGGCGGGGGTGCTATTTCCCAGGAGGTCTGGGCCCAGAGATGAGGAGGTGAGCGGGGGGTGCCCGGACTGTGGCTGGCGGAGAGCGTCTGCTGCGCCCCTGCATGGATCCGCGTCGCCCTGCGAGCCGTGGACATGCTCCCCTCCCCTCGCCGCCGCGAGACACCTCTGACGTCACAGGCCGAAGGAGAAGGGAATGTGGCCCCCACGGTCCTGTGGCTTCTACGCCGCCTTGTCAGGAACCCAAGCGCCGCAGGAGGGAGCCCTGCTTCCAGGAGGCGGTCAGCTGTGCGCTCAGCACCCACCAGAGCCCTCCTGCCGTGCTCTCCCGGGTACAGACGAATATTTAAAACACAAAGGTCTAAGAATATTTATTCTTCAAGGAAGGCTTTTATGCTGCCTAGTTGGCAATCACAAAGCATGGCGTTGCTATGAAAATAGGTCACCTTGGGGCACCCGGGGGCTCAGAGGGTGAAGCGTCTGCCTTCAGCCTGGGTCATGGTCCCGGCGTCCTGGGATCGAGCCCCATCAAGTCCTGGCTCAGCGGGAGGTCTGCTTCTCCCTCTGCCTCGCCTCTCTCCCTGCTCATGCTCTCTTTCTCTCTCTCTATCTGTCTCAAGTAAGTCAACAAAATCCTTAAAAATTGTTTTTTTAAGAAAAAGAAAATAGGTCATCTTGATGCCGAATGATGGGGAGCAGAGGGAGGTCCTGATTCTCTCTGACCAGGTAGAGGAGTGGCCGCTGGGTCCTTCACGAGGACGGCTGGTGTGCCCCAGGATCACCTCCAAGCCCAGTGATCCTGGCACCATCTCTCCACGTGCTGGTGTAAGGTCCGGCGCCCACACAGAACTCCCACGGGGACTCTGGCGTGATTTCTGAGGTTCTTTGCCGCTACCGAGCTTCGTGAGGGGACAGAGCACCCCCGGGGAGAGAGGAGGGGCTTTCCTGGGAGTGCTGTCAGCACTCCCACGGCCGTGTTCCAGTGGGACTCATGCAAATCATTCTGGTTTCCCCAAGACCCGACCTGACTTGACCCTCCAGCTTGGCCACTGGGACACGAGTGGCTGGAGGGAGAGAGGGGAGGGCACCCCCAGAGTGGGAAGCTGGCCTCACGCCATACACGGCGGCAGACAAAGCCAAGGGGTGACCCTTGTGCAGATGCCCCAGAATCCAAAGACAGCGTTAGGTAATGTCTGAGCACTGCGGACTCCAGCTCCGCACTCACCCTCAGTGGGCAGAGGGGCGACCCAACAGCAAGGTCTTAGGGGCGCCGTGGGTCCCCGTGAGATTCTGGGTTTGGAATTTAGCCCTTTCAAAAGCCGGTGCCGCCAGCGAGGAAAGCAAGACAGAAGGTGAGCCCAGGGAGAGTAAAAATAGAGCTGCTGTTACGTGAGTCACCGCTGCTGTTACAGGGGACACGGTGCCCGCGCCGGGGGTAGGGGAGGGGAGCCCGTGCCCACCTGGGGGCCAGCTTGCTCCTGACACCCACGGCCCACATCCTCATGCCGCCAGGGCCTGGGCAGTAGGCCCCGTGGGGAAGGTGACTGGCCCATGGCCACGGGACAAGTCCCTTCCCCCTCGCCTCCCTGTCCCCCTTGCCTCCCCCAGGACAGGCCCAGCCCTCCACGCATCCTTGGTGAATTCCATACCGGAAGTCGGGATTTATCTGGAAAGCTGCAATCATAAGTCAAGTGTCACAAGAAGCTGAAATTCATTCAGAAGTTGAGGACAATTTGTCAAACAACCTATGACCCAGAAAACTCCCACAGAAAATCATCCAGTCCAGCTGAGGCCGGCACCCGTCCCCTCCCTGCCTCCGCAGGACACACGGGCCTGCCGCTATGCGAGTAGCCACGAGACGGTCTCCTCCAGCACACCACTGAGGCCCTAACCTGCTGGCTGCCATGGGCCCTCCATGGCCACCAGCTCACCCCACAAGCGGCTCACACCATGAGCTGGACACCGCGCCCAGCCCTCCATGTCCCGACCCCTGCCAGTTCTCAGAGCCACTCAGCAAGAGACGCTCCTTCTTACAGGCGAGGAAAGAGCTGGGGAGCATCGGCCAACTCTTGGGGAAGGACCACGGGCCCCTCAGGACACAAGAGACGGGACTGTGGGGAGCCAGCACCCCAACCCAAAGACCCAGGCCTCAGAGCCTGCCCTTTCTTCCTCCTGGGACACTTCTGTGCCCCGCTGCCTCCCGGGCACCTGCTCAGCCCTCAGGCCCTTCTCCAGGAAGCCTGTGCTGGGCCCTCTGAGCACTCAACATCCAGCCCGTGCCCGCTCGTCCCCATCCCCCCCGCCATGGGACACCAGCTCAGTGCCCAGCCCAAGGTCGGGGAGGGGGGCAACATGCTCACACTGGCTCTTCAGGAACAGACATGATGAGGGCGTGGCGCCAGCCCAGGGACCATGCTGAGGCCTCGGGGGCTCACGTTCCTGAACAGTCCCTCTGCTCATGCCCAGGAACGTGCCTGGGGACCTGAGTGACTGGAGGCCAGAAGCCAGGCAGTCCTGGCGCCTTCCCACCCCCAGGCTAGACC